GTGCTTTCATAGGAATCCTGTCAGAAAGTGGCTGAAAACAAAATGGTCAGGGACTAATCAGTCAGAAGAGGCACCACTGAGCAATTGAARCATCTCAGAGAGGGTTGCTAAAACACTGACAAGAAGCCCCAAATAAACCTAACACAGAAGATCTGCCCTCTYTTCCTCTCCTGATCCTTCCCATGCAAGTTCAAAATTCTGCTTTCAAATTCAGGGGAGAAAGTGGGAAATGACACCCAATTTTGTGGCTGTGTGCTTCAGCCTTTCATTAAAAAAAACGTACAGCCATGAAAATACACTGTTTTTGTTAGTTTTACACCAAGTATGGGAGTAAAAATACTGTCAAAAGAATGTTCCCCAGCATTTCCTTGATTTCTCCCCAGAGTCTTTAAATTCGCTGATGTTAAAAGGAAAACAAAGAACTACAGCAACACGCATGAACACAGCGCTATAAATAAAAAAAGGGGGGAGAAAAGCAAACATTTTTCGTATTTTCAGTCAGGCATTGTGTAGTCATTTGCTTAYTCCATCACTGCTCTGTGCTCAGGACATTAAGAGAAGGCTGATACTAATGGGAGTCTTTCTGTTGCATGGAGCCTGACCGGAGTTTCCTGTCTAAGGCCTGGGAAATAAAACCAGAAAGATTAAGATCTACTTTTTATCCTTGTGCTGAAAACTTCGCTACTAAAGGGCAAAATTTTGCCAAGATAAACAAAAAATTTGGCTTAATTTTGTTGGGTTATAAATACATTAAAAAGGGGAAAATTAGTCATATGAACATATAAATAATAGTTCAATTACCTTCAAGAATCTGTGGGTGGATGTCCTGGGCGGAATAATTTGCTAAGGCAGCATTCTTCTTCCTTGCTTTTCCTCTTCCTCTTAATTTATTCCTCTTTTTCTGAATATGTGCTTCTAGGTTTTAAACTTTATTTATATCTTGCTTTTTATTCTGTAATCTTGGTGATCTTTCCATAGCTGGTCTATATATATTTTCCTTTAGGATTAGCTTGTTATGGACTAAACATTTTTAATGGATACCAACACRGTGTAAAATACTTCAAGGTATACCTAGCCTCTGCTGCACTCTTCCATTTTCTGGATGTCAAGAGAATTTAAAATCAAAAGATTGTTTAACAGTCCTGTTGTGCAAGYCTTGCTATGTTGTTTTTGCCATATTACATCTTACCTGCTGCAACATCAAAGACCCCTCCTTCCTTCTTGCCTTTTCTTAGACATKTCTGCTCTCGCTTTTTTGCCTCTTGTTTTGATTTTGTTTTGATTTCATTCAAAATTGCTGACAACAGGTAACAAAATTCTCCAACATTTAGATTTCTGTCAAGTCTCCTGGCTGATCAAGGCTGTCAAGAGCCAGGAACCAACCATTTTAGCTCTGCTGTTTCTGCCTGTGCAGCCTGGCAGCAGCRAGGGATGTAAGGATTGGTGTGACCATGCCTGGCTTCAGAGCAAGACTCAGCAGGGCCTGGAAGGAGTAAAGCACCTGAGACATGTGGTTACTGTGCCACACGRAGCAGTGAGCTGGAGTCACAGGAGAGCATCCCTGGGATGGCTCCCATTGCCCATCCCTGCCTGCAAGAAGAGCAGGGGGAGCAGTGGAATTTGCTTGGGATTGTCTTGGTTTCACACCTTCCTAAAAAAGCCCCCAGATGTTAAATGTTAATGTCTATTGTGTGTACGTCCTTCTCTCAGGTAGCTTTTTTTTTTTTTGTTTATTGATTTCTGTCTTTTAACTTTAATAGGGTGCTATTTACATCACTGCAATTATGCAGTTTGTTCTGGTGTCCCATAAATAAGAGTGTTTTTACTGCCAAGAGATGCTGGGAATATTTGTGAGAACTCATCCAGTGCTAATGTTTAACCTAGTGCYTGAGCACATCATGGCCTGACATCAYGGGCACACAGTTTGGGAACACAGCCTAAGAGTATCAAAGACAAGAAAGGTTGAGCTGTGCTTGCATTTTAAATCTGGGGTCTTATGCCACAATGGAAAAGGTTTTCTTGTTAGAAAAGCATTCAAAATACCACAATGCCAACTGAAAGATTTTTTCCTAGCCTGAGTGGAGTTTTGATTGTGCCTCTCACTGAAGGCAGAGTTGGCCCTTTTCCTGGAAGCACAAGACTGGTAGCTCCCTCCCTACATGCACAGTCACCCATTGAAGAGGTTTCTAATCCCAAAGATTAGAAGTGACTCCAAAGGGAAGCTCGTGCAGCAGCAACTTCTCAGGCTGTGGGAGCAAACACAAAAGCTCCTGAATTAAACCTGCCAGAGAAAAAAAAAAGCGAGGCCTGACCAAAGCCTGAGGATCTGGCAAACAAAACTTAAGAAGTCTTTTTTCAGTGCTTCTTTTGAAAACGTGTGAATATTCTTAGCACCTTTTCAACCTGTTGTAGCATGGCACTCTGTTCCTACTGTTGCTAATTTCTGTATTAGGAATGCCCTTGTTTTACCACTTAGAAGATTTCAGGTTTACAGCTAATTGTGGGTACAAAAGCTTCTGGTAGGTGGAACAATATGAAACAGGCCCTCACTTCCTGGCTCTTTTGAGGACAGTAACATACGACCAGACAGGCTATCTTAGAGCTCACTGAATTGTTCTACACGGTGGGGTGATGAACAGCAGCAAATACTCTCCAGTGTCATTGGCAAGAAGTGAGACTGATGACATTGTGTCACTTCCCACAGGAAGGGCCTACAATGAAGGACATGGTGTTTATCTGACAGGAATGATTGGGAGATGACATCACTGAGAATTCACTGCACACTCACACCTGCTATATCCAAAGTGGACCCATTTAGCATCTGCATTTCTGATGTGGGTGCATTGTTCTGTCTGAGTTAACTTGAACTGGTTTAGGGAAGCATGCTGAGCATTGTGAGCAGAGATAGCACCACACACGGATGCAGAAGCATTGTTAGGACAAGCTTTATATGGGATGTTCTGCCAAATGGTTCCCTTCCCTTCCTCTTCTCATTTCCTTGTTCTCCTTCAGCCACTGGAGAATGCTAATCCCTTTATTTGCTTATGCATAAATTTGTGACTTTCCAGATGTTCTACAAAAGACATTTGACTAGAAGACTTTTCTGGGGAGACACACCAAGAGGAGAAGGAAATATCTTTCAAAATATCTTTCCTGAGTGATGGCAACTTGATTCTTTTGGACTTGAGGATTTTAATATGGCTATGTTTGTATTGACAGTCACAATATAGAGAGCCTTGCACTGAAAGCTGCAAACAAAAAGGAAAATACTACAGTTACTTTAATTCTTCCCTCTTACTGCAACTTCTGTTGAATATCTGGTTTTGACCTTTAGAAACAACACATGCACAATCTCTTGCTCATCCCAAGAAGCAAGCTTTGACATTTTGTTCATAACACACAAAAGAGCAAGCACACAATTGTATCCGAATGGAGAAAGTATGGAGACACCTATGGAGAGCAAAATTGTTGCTGGCTCCAAAAATTTCACAGAGCTATGTATTACTCTTAAAAAAAAAAAAAAATTAAAATCTAGACATTAAAAACTTGAGTCAGGGTTTCCTCATCTTGCAGGTACGTTGGCTAAAATCCTTTTTCTTCACTCTTTCTTTCCAGCCAAGAGTGTCCCTTTCTGTCTGTCCACCCACTGGCTGATTGTTGGGCAGTCTCTTCCCTCCAGCCCATCCCAAACATAACTGGAAGGGTGAGCAGGGATCATCACCTTGTCTGACGTGGCTGGGCATTGCAGAGCAAGTCACAAGAGTAAAGGAGCACAGGGATGGCTCTAAATGTACACAGAAGAGACTCGGATTCTTGTGCTCCACCAAAAGCTATTTCTTTGCCTCCCCTAATAACACGTTAAGTATATTGTGATGATAAAAGAATAGTTATACTATGGTGTTTTTAGGAGATGTGACCCCAGGCCTTGCCTTGTCCTACAGCTGTAGGAGTCCTTTTGGTCCCCTAACCCAAACACTGACACAGGGGAAAGAGCAGTGTCCTTAGAACACTCACTGTCAGCATTTCCAAGCCTTCAAGTTTGCAGATTGGGTTCTTTCTTCCACTGATTCCCTCAGGGTATTCCCTACCCTCCTCTTCCCTTCCTCCTCCAGTTCCTCCCATTCCCTCTTCCATCCCTCCCTCCATTTGTCCTCTTCAACCATCCATTTTCCGTGGCATTGTCTCCCACTGCTTTCACAAGGGATGAAGCTCTGCTCCTGTTAAAGAGCCGTCACCTTGGACCAGGTAAGGGTGTTGGAAGCAGAGCTCCCCAGAGCACCTCAGAGCTGCTCTAATTACCCCAGACATGTGTGTCATGTCCCCCATGTGTGTGTGTGTCATTTCAGTGCTCCTCAATTCCAGCAATCCCCTCCCATTGCCTGTGCAGAGCTTTGCTGAGTGTGACAGAGCAAACTGTTCTGGTGGCAACCATTCTTGAGCTCAGCTGCACCCAAAACACATGGGCGGAAAGTGATTTTTCAGAGATTGTTACTTCCTTAAGAAATGGTGGTGGTGAGGGACTGGTGYTTGCCTCCTGTACACACAAGGTCAGAACACCTCAATTTTGCTAAAGCATGGAGCAGAAGCATAGTTCTGACATAGGCCAAAAAAATTTAAAAAAAAAAAATTAAGAGCCTTTCAAAATAAGGACTGCTCTTTGGCTGCTCTTAAAATGGCCTGAAACTTGAAAACCACAAACTGAGGTGGAAAAGTTACTTCTTTTACGATGTGGGATACATTTTTTCACASTGTGATTCCTTGATGTCTTAATACATGATTTTTGCATTTCCCAAAATGAAATGGGGGAGCAGCAGTGCAGAAACCACACACTGCCTTTTTTTTTTTGTTTTAGTGTCTCAGTCAATCTTCTCAGTCCAGAGTTCAAGGATAGGCTCTGGCCCTCTCATATAAGGAAGGTATACAGCAGATTGTTTCATCAAAAGGAAAGTAGTGACTTCAGTATCAGTTTGAGAGTTTTATTAAAACCATAGATTTCTGAAAAAAAAAAAAAAAAAAGAAAAAAAGTATTAACCACATCAGAAACAATGCAATGTAAGTGGCTTGTTGATAAAAACCTCTGAATGCTATATACAGGATTAGTACTACACAACTGCATTAATGTAGAGACTGTCAGCAACTTTAGCAATATATACAAACTACCTTTACACTCATAAATATCTTATTTACAGCTAATAAATAACATCCAGAGCTAAATCATGTTTCCTTATGAAAAGAACTTTCACTATTTTGTGTCCAAGTTTTAAATGTGTTGTATTTGATCCTGTATTAAGAGCACAGCTGTCCAGATGCTTTGTTTCTGAAGAATTCAACTCTTAAGAGAAAATTGCAAGAAAATGTGGAATCTATAGGGAATAAATCACTGTTTTTATTTTTGGAGGTCTCAAATGCAGTGGCTCAATACTCAACCCCACCCTCAGTGACTCATCACATCTCTGCTGTAGTTTGATCAAATGTGAAATCACATGTGAGCAATTTCAGAGCTATTAATATTCCAACATATTGCACTGTTTAAGACTTTTATCCCCAAATATAGTAGCAGCTACAGTTGGAAAAAGGAAACAAACTGTGCACATAAACACATATATTTTTTTCCTTTGCTTTTAAGATGGGATGATACTGGAGAAATCACCATCTCCACGCTGTCTTGCACATGCAGGAAAAGACTACAACACCCAGCATCAATAATGAGTATCACACTTCCCCAAGTGTCTACCTTCAAGCCCTTCTACCTCCCCACCATTTTGTTTATCCTCTAGAAAGCTAAAAGAGGGCTATTGCACCTTTCAGCACACTAGGAAAATKATATATTACTTACAAATGGGGAAGCAGAATGCCTTCAATATACCTATTTTTGTCAACTCGCAGCATGGCTAATTTCAGTGCCTCAGTGTTTTTCAGAGCACTGTTTCTTGTGGAACACACAATCAGGCTCCCTGTAACTGGCTCGGCTCCTGCTTCCTGCTGAATTCCATCTTGTGGCAGAAAACTAAGCAGCTCCTAGCGCTGCACCACAGCCAAAAAATAAACTTAGGTGGATTACTGGCAGTCACAATTCCAGCACAGGGAAGCATGAGCATCCCTGTCAGCTATCAAGTGGGTTCACTTGCACTGAAAACTGCACACATGAGCCRCTCAGCTGCATGACTGACACTTGGTGTCGAAGAGCAGAGAAACTGTGACAGTTTTGGCATACATGACGCAAGCAGCAGGGAGAGGGTGGAGGTGGGGGGGAAATATCTGTTTCCTGCATTTTCTGGTAGCTCAGTTCCTCTGCAGTTCCTTATTCACAGTGTTGAAGGCTAGACAACTGAAAGCACAGATAAAATATTAAATGTCTGCGTAGGACACTGGCATTGCTGCCTTCTCCTACTGCTGTGACTTATCCCAGGGCAAGCGGCATASAGCTCTAAATCTTAAAACATCATACCTATTGCTAAGCAGCACTGGCATCTACCCCCATTAAAAAACATTCAGAACCACAAACTAAAAAAATCATCCCCATATTAAGTCAGTCCCTGACGCCTTCTAGAAATACACGCAGCAAAGATGGTTTTTTTTTTCACATGGGATACCTACTTATTTGCTAAACACACTTGAAAATTATGAACTCTCTCCACTGAACTGCCTGAAAATTCAATTAGCTGAGACAGAAGAAAATCTGTCCCATTTCAAACTACTCCTGAAAAGAACAAAAAAACCAACTAACCAAAAAAAACCCAAACAAAACAAAAACAACAACAAAAACACATACAGGTCTTTGTTTCTTTTCAATAAATACTAAAAAATTGCTGTAAAGGATCTGATATCAAGAAACCTTGTCACAAGGCACCATGATTAAGCAAAATTACTTATTTCTTTCAGCACTCCAAACTTTGGCAAGTTGTTTTGCAGGTTTCTTTCTGTTTTTAACTATTTGGATAATGTATCTTTATAGTTAGTAACTTYGTATGCTGAGACTTTCTTATAAGAAGTCCCTAAAATAACTAGGAATAGCAGGCAAAAATCCAGCAGCAGATAAATATTTCTATATATTTGATTCTGAACATCCAGTCCACAGGGATGAACAGACTCTTCTCCTCCCCAGTGTGAAAAATCTTTGTTCTTGTCACTTAAGCAGATTCATCAGCAGAATTCTCTTTAGAGGCTTTCTTGGAGCTGTAGAGAAAAAAATAAAATATAAAGGCTGTGAGGACAATGTAAGATACTTGTTTCTTCTTGTCTTATTTTTAAGAATTAAGATTTTAAAACTGCCTGCTTAACAGGAAAAGAAATTGTATGCCTGTATTCTCCTAGCTTCTGCTTGATTTTATATTGGGTATTTTATATATCAGTGTGTCAGATACACACACAGAGGTCTCAAGGCCCCAGAGTCATTGACCCAGAGTCAAGGCCAGTACATTTGCATTTTTATGCAGAGCTAGGTCTCAGTCTAGAAGTGTCCCCATTAGACCATTCACACACAGCAACTGAACTAAAATAAATATAACCACTTCTCTATCTCAAACTTTAGTGGATAAAGTCCAAACACTGTCCCCACATTTCCTCTGGGCTGGAAAAATTATTGATAAAAATATTAAAGTGCACCAAAGGCTACTAAACAAAGACAGAATCTCTGATCCATAGAGAGAAAAATCTCAGGAAATCACTCATCAGAAGGCAGTGTGCAAAGACGGGCACCTGCATATGACTGCTCCACTCCTGTACCAGCTGGCCAGAGGGAGGGCTCTGAATTGACTCAGTATGGAATTCTGAGTGTTCTGCAGCTAAGGGTAAGTGTAGGGCATCTTAAGACAGAGGCATGCTTTCCTCTYGTGTCTGCAACCCTCCCTAACACCCTTATACTGCTTTTCAGACATGCTAGCAACCACACCAGGAGAAGCAAATTATGAGCTTTTAAGCTGCAAAAGCTGCCACAAGCAAACCTCTGTGCTGTGCTGCTTCTGAAGCCTTGAGAAGACCGGTGCACAAGTCAATTAATGGGGAAGTTTTATTACCACTCAAATGGCAATAAACCCAATAGTATTACTCATACCCTCCTCTCTTCCTGTTGGCGGGCTGCTCCGAGCATTTCACGAATACTGCTGCCTCTTCTCCCTTACTGAGACGTGAGGTGCCATCTCGAGAACAGAACACCACTCTGTGGAATAAATATTGGAAAAAAATCACACGACTGAGCCAAACACCCCTTTTTAATCTTAGAAAGAAGACTGGTGCTTGGAAACAGTCTTTATACATTGTCATGTGGGACACTACTACTTTGCAAGCTTGTGAGAAAGTTATTTTCAAAAGAGAATTCCATGACAAAAGAAACGCTGTGCAAGAAAAACTGGTAAATGAATTATGCATGGGCATCAAACCATAGCCATAACTTTCAGTGATCCTCTGCATAAAATCTTCTTGTGGCTAAGACAGCAGAAGTTCAATCGCAAAGTCTCCTCGATCTTTATTTACCCCAGTCTTTACAGGAGTTTTTTGCCAGGTGAATGAACTTGGAAGAAAGCCATAGTCGCTCAAATGTTTGCAAATGAAGTAGGTTGCAATTTCCAGAAAACCTGAGCACTTTTTTCTACTTATCAGTACTTTCCCCACCCCTGTATTTGTTCAGCTCTGATAACTGCTCTTTGATCAAGTGACTGACCTATTTATTCAAAGAAGGAACTTATTATTGTTTACTATACTACACACAGGACACACATACTCTGTTCTGGGCCCATGTTCTGCAAACAGATCTCATGTTTAGTGAATATGAGTATTTCAAAAGATTCATGCCAAAGCACTTTTGTTCAGACTTTGATGTTCTAACATTCACGCATTAGCAATGTCCTGAAGCAGTCATGTGTTTCAGTTTTTCACCCACCATTCAGGTTTTCAACCCAAAAGAAAATCCAGCTTAACTAAGCAACAATTTCTTGTGCAAACACACTTTTGGAAGGTTTTCTAAAAATCTCCACTGAAGCACGCTCTTTGTGACAAAACTTATGCAAACACCCAGCATGAAAAAGGATGAGAGAAATTGCAAATACAGTCACTGGTGCTGGTTCATGGAGATACTCGCCTGCATATTATAACTAACTTAAAGTTACAACAGTAGGGTACAAATTAATTGCGTGGGAGTAAGACTACAAATTGCAAATTGCAGTGAAAGTAAACAACTGAATCTGGCTGATATAAATGGTGGTTTGATACCACTGGAGCCCCAATTATCAATGCTGCACCTATTTGTAACTGCTTAACATGTTTGAACCAGCTCATGAGATAGCAGAAAGCAGGAAACACTGTCAATTAAAATTAATACAGCTTATAACAATCGAAAGAAGTTACTTTTTCTGAGTTTCTCCTGATTTCACTCTGACTCTCTGGATGTCAAATGTAAAAGGAGTCCACCAGTCTGACCAGCTGAAAAAGGTGTCTTTTTCCCACTGCAGCTTCAGCATAAGCAGATCTCCAATATCCACTTCTGTGTAAATCAGGAAGGAGAAGGTCTTGTTTGAGGAGACTTCAGGCCTGTGGCAAGGAGAATAAGAAAAAACAAAACAAACAAAAAGAATCCTGAAACTCTTAGACAGAAAAAGAAAATTCAGGCTGGAATTTTTATGTTCCAAAGAAGGAAACAACTTTCTGCATCATTCTGATGGATCAAATAAGGATAAAAAACCACCTTAWGCTTTTGTAGAAACAACATCCTTCTGTGATCAGGCTGGTAAAACCCTGGGACAGTCTGCTGGGCAAAGGTTGTCCCCTCCTGTGCTGGTAACTCTCAGAAAAGCCAGACAACCACCACCCAGAGACAGTTTACATTCCTCAGAGCAGAAAACAGACTTGGGTGCTTTGCAGCTCCATCCCCTGCCAGCCCATGTTCAGGGATGTACACACAAACTTCTACGCATTTGCAGAGCTGTGAAAGCAAATCCCATGTCTCCCTCAGCTTATGCACTGAGGCCCTCAGACCCATAAGTCTACTTTTAAAAAGATTTAACACAGTTGGAACATGGTATAAGGACACTGAAAAGAAAACAAGGAAGCACTAGAAAAACCCCTGTTAGGCTGAGTCACAGGTCAGACTTCACATTTCCGTATTTCAAATGTCTTATCAAAAAGACCTCCTGTAGGGTTTGGTTCATCACTTTCAGAAGTGAATGCAACTCCCTGATCAAGGACAAGAGCAGATTCTGGGATTCTGTAAGTTTACTGTAGCAGRAGCTACAGCAAATTTTTCACTTGAGGCTTTAACAAATTTAGGTGAACTCAACAGTAGTTTTCAGTTGTTTCAGTAGTTACTCACAGAGTGAAAGCAATGTTCTCACTCTCATCCAGAGTGCCATAGAGAGAGATCAGGAACGGCTGGTTTGTCTTGGTTGTATTAGCCTTTCCAAAGAAATGGATCTTGACCTGATAATGAAAGACTGGAAGAATACAAAAAAAAAAAAAAAAAAAAAAAAAAAAAAAAAAAAAGACCATTAGGAAAACTCAGCTTCCAAAGAGACAGCTGGTGACAAAACCACCCTGCCTTACCTCTGAAAATCCTAGTCTAGAATATGTTAACTTCACCAAAATAAGGGTTTTTTTCCCTGCAGGTATCCAGGGAACAATTTTTGTGAGAAAGTAAATATTAGTWAATAAGCCAATCACCATTAAAGAACACCTTTGCAGTTCTTGCAACTAAACTCTGAGTTCAAGCTGCCACAGTAATAACCCCAGAGCGCGCAATATCACCTTCAAATCTGGTACTGAACATGTAAGACTTGCTATCCTTGACTTTAAAAAAGTGAGCTGTGCCCACCTCTTACAGGAGCTTTGGTAAAAGGAAGAAAAAAAATCAACCCACTGACACTGCAGATTAGGCAGCCAGCCGAACACCAGTCTTGCAGCAGTTCTTACACTGCAGCAAAGTGCTTTTTGATTGCTGGTGCATCACACAACATGCACTATAAGCACACAGGCAAAGCTAGGGAGGAAAATAAAGCAGTAAAACCCAACTCAGAAGCTATTTTCCTCGCTGAAAACCTCCCAGTTCTCTCTAGCACTGTCCTTGTCAGACCTCCCACAGCAGCAACTGGAGTCAAGTGCTGTGATATTTTGAGAACTGGTGCTCCTCTAGCAAACATACTACCAAAGGCACAGATCAGATGTTTGCATATCTTTAAATAAGTTGCTAATCAGAATGAGTTCTACTAATTTTTGTCCCAACAGAAGGAAGTAATCATCCRGATGAAAAACACTGAAAATTTTGGAAGACTCAGCTGTTCCAAGTGATTGGGCAGCAGAGCAAGTGTAATTTTGGCTACTTAGAAATTGATCACAAATTCCTTTCTTTTTGTGCTCTACCCCACACCTCCACACCTTGAGCAAGATGACACTTCTCTGAAACTTGAATTCAATGGCAAACTGCARCTCAGCTTCACCCCTGCTCCCCACAGGATTGTCATCTGCAGCACATGCCCACCGTGACACACACATGAGCACAAGTACCCAGCCTTGYTCACCTACCTTTATAGGGCATCTGAGCACGGGTTTTCAAGTACATTTTGGTGTTTCTCTTTGTCCTCACTCTGTTGACCTTGTAGCCCAAATTGTTGCAGCGGTTCTTGCGGCAGCTCAGGCAGAGTCCCTTCTCGAAGGCCTCCTTTGTGTTGCAGCGATAGGCCATGCTGGGCTTTTCCTCRTTGAGGAGGGAGTCAATGAAGAGGTGGATAGATCGCTCGTGGGAGCATTTCACCAGCTGATCCACATCTTGAAAAAATTAAAATGTACAATATGTATACACGAGTGGATATAAAATGATATAAACCCCTGAGCAATGCTGTCAACAGGTATGATCCACTATGCCAGAACTGTGGTTTACAGGACGATTTTTAAAAGCACTTGAAAGAGCATATCCCTGTACCTCTCGGAGATCTTTCCTTGCAAGACATCTTGCAGGGTTATTCAGGTTTCCCTCTGTTTTATTGTTTGTATCAGAGTGCACTCACCTCCAAAGCCCTTTTCAGCAATCAGACGCAGAGCTTCTCCCAGGTTGCAGCCCGGCTGGAAACCTCCACCATTGGGATAGATATCAATGTGTCCAACAGGCTTCTGGATCCCAATGCTGCGGTCTGGGGAGCCTCGGGTGTAGGTGTGCAGGACATCCACAAAGTCAGCATCGTCCGGGGACAGGCGGGTGAGCTCATCAGCGTACTCAAAGGTAGGACCAGCAGGATCCAGCCCTTTGTGGGGCAAGCCACAATGAAAAACTGAGATTATTGTCTGCCAAAGACACTGACATTGATAGCAAATGCCAAACTCAGCTGCCACGCTGGGCTGGAGTATTGAGTACACTGCTGGTTTTCCTGCAGACATTACAGAGGGATCATTTGAATAACATTCATGTATGCAGGAAAATCAAATGCACTACCTGGAAATGTTGTCACTGTCTAAAAAAATAAAAGTGTATGCAAACACATGGAAGGAAGCCCAGACAGCTTCCTCAGAGCTGTAGCATTTCCAGTGGATGGAAGAAACAAGCTCACAAGTATTTTCTCAATGTCTTCCTCTCTTGTAGAGAGTTGTAACTTGTATCTGAAGTGTCTGAAGTATGGAAAGCTCTTGCTGACAACTGCACGCCAGGGAAACAAGTGGGAAACATAAATGAGAGTTTCACTGCCTATGTATCTAAGGGGAAGGGGACCACCATGGTAAACTGTCAAGCTGCATCAACACTGACACCAAAAAAAAGCCCAGAACTACTCTGTCAGTGAACAAGTGCTATCTCCTGTCCAGACAGCTGAGAGATGGCTGAAGGTAGAGATGAAGGGATGTGTCTTTACTGCAGCCCTGAGCTAAGGACAGGCACCCGTGCTGCTCACTCACTGTTGGCATCCCCAGGTCTGAGCTGCCTCCCCTCAGCTGTGAGGGCTTCAGGGGCTGCATTACATTGCTCCCTGTGCTTTTCCCAGAGAAAAGCTCATCCTCAGCACCAAGAGCAACTCTGGAGGCACAGCAGAGTATTAGTGGCATGTCAGTGTTTTGGGAACCTCAGTGAAAGCTGCAACTCAGAGAAAGGAAGGGCAGAGGGACTAGAGCTTTGGCCTCCTGATTTTCATCTGCCACCTCTCAGGACTCGACCTTTCTGGATGTGACTGCTGCCTAGCCCATCTCTCAGCATGCCCRTGGATCTGGGATCACAGCCAGGCTCAGGTGAAAGATTAAAGGGTGCCAGGAGCTAGGCTCTCTTCTGAATGCTGCTCCCAAGCTCTCTCAGCTACAAAGACACCACAGATGAGTAATTTTCTTAGCCTCATTTGCTGATGCTGGCAATTCCTTTGTCACTGAGATCAGTGCTAGGGGCTCGGCTCTCCAGTTGCTGGGCTGTAAACCAGCCCCAGTGGCTTTGCACTCTGCCTTGTCTAACATACTTCTCCGTCTCCAAAAATCACCTTCAACAGACATCTAAACACACATAGCAACAGGGCAACTATATATGTGCTCCCTTCCTCTTTCCCAAATCCTCACAGTATTATTTCCAGCCAAGAATATTTCTTGAGCCTGTTAACTGTTTAATAAGCCACACTGATTTTTTTCTGATTATCTGTCCAGTCTCCCTTTGAGCCCATATAAACTTATTGCAACTGTATCATCCCATGGCAAAGAGTACTGCAGGTGCCAAACTTGCTGCAGCAGGATTTGCCTCCTGTTGTTTTACAATGGCTCCCATCAGCTCCGAGGATGACTGCCTGGATAAAGACGATCAGCTGAATTTCTCATGCTGCAAAAAATACTTYGACCTTTTCCAAGCCATGGATTGGTCAGCTGACCCCCTCAACTACTCTTTCATCCTGGCCTACTCACTCATTTCTTGTGAAGAAGCAAATGAAGGTTTCTCAGTCACCACCCTTGTTGTTATTTTCTCAATCTTTTTCCATTTCTACAACAGAAATATCAACCCTGCTGTTCCATTAAATCATGAACACATAACCAAAGTAATCCCAGCAAGCAACAATTATTCTGGTGATTTTCAGTGGAATACAATGTTTGAGTATGGAACAGACAGGACTCTCCACYCTATAGTCACAAGTTTTCTTACCAGTAATTCTGTTCACCTTCTTTTTGGTCAGGTTCCCAGCAATTCCAGCAGCATGAGCACCTAGACTGTACCCCAGCAAGTGGAGATTGTTGAGAGGATAATTGAATTGCTCCTGCAGAAGAGAATAATTTGTTCTAAGTTCAAAGCCAAACACAAAAAAAAACCCCACAGAAGATATGAAATAAAGTGTTTTGTTAATACTGGGGTCTTTGTCTGAGCTATGAATAATAGAAGAAACACATAATTTTGTGCCATAGTAGATTTCTTGATCTAACTAATTTATGGCTGAAATCTAAGCTGAGGGGAAAGCAGAATAAAGGGAAGAACACAGGGCTGTGCATTACACAGGTTTTCAGACACCCTCTCCCCATAGTTTCTGGATCTCCCACGTATTTTCCACAGGCCAGGCAGATTTCTGATTCCCAAGAGCTGGCTGCTGTATAACATACAGGAACCTGTGTTTCATAGCTCCCTCTCACAGTGCCTTCAGAAATCCTGTGGGCTTGCAGGGCTCCACAGACCACAAGGTAAAGTTTCTGGAAGGCACTACAAAATGTCTCTGAGTAGTAGATAACCAGCAACTAAAGCTGGAATTTTACCAGTCCAGCAGAACTACACTCTGCAAGAGTCTAACTGCATGTACCCAACAGGAGATGATTAACACAGATCATTGTTGTTTTGTCTCCTAGGACATTATGTAGAACATCTTACCTCCATCCAGTCAATAAAGGTAGCAACATCTCTTCCCACCAGCCTGGTGTATGCCGCAGACACCGGGTAGTGCTGCTGAGCYCGGACCAGCCAGTCCACCACAATGACGTTTGAATCGGGCTCCCTCTTGTACAGAGCATCCACCAGCTTYGGCACCCAGCTTTCATACATCCCTGTCACCTGTTGGTTTGGGGGATTTTAATTAAAAAAAGAGATATATTAACATACCTGTGAGACACCTCTGCGCAGCTGGTCACACGTGTGGTTAAAAGGGAGATTYCTCCCACTTTGTCTTACCGTCCATCCATGGATGACCACAAAGGTTTTGCTGGTGTGATTGAAGTTGCACTGTGCCAGGCTGTTCACCTGCCCAGGAACCAGGTAGCAGACATCCTCATCAGGCTCTGCAGGCGTCCGTAAGGAAAACTTGCTCTCAATTCCCTCGAAATTGTTTTCCGTTTCTGCTGTGCAAGGGTACAAAAAAAAAATTAGCAGTGTTTTAGGAGCACTAGGACAAAGTCAGAAGGCACAGGTACAATATTGGAGAGATATCTGGAACACTCAAAAAACAGGACATGAGGTTTTCATTTCCTACAGCAYTCAGTGGCCACACAATAGCCACAAAAAGAGGAAATCAAAGGGTGAAAATTGCTCCCCCTAMAAGATCCTGTTAAAACTGTAAGAATCTGCCAAGCTGTCAGAGAGGTGTGAATCCATTTTAAGAGCCAGTATCCTCCYCATTACATTAAACAGGAAATCTCTTAAGTATCACAAGAGTATGGAAAACTGCACAGGACTGTCACAGTCATCCAGGAAAGCAGCGAGTTGCTACCACACTATTACATATTTTAGTGGTGCACCTTCCACATCACCTCATCAATAATCACTGCCTAATAAGGCCTTTTCTAACACTGTGTAGCTGCAGTGCATTAAGAGCTCTGAAGACATCATTGTTTCACAAAATGCTAGTTTTAACTTTTGACCAAGAAACAGCAGGTGAGAAGATCAGACACCCATCAGAGAAACTCAACTAGCAAACAAGCTAGTCTAGTTTGAATGAAATACATTTTCTGATCATCTGATAAACTACAAAAAAATAAGCTGCACAGAAATATCTTCCTCTGCCTGAAGCTATTTTGAGTCCAGGGTGGGGAAGGAAGTGAAGATCATGCACTGGTGGTAACAAAGTATGTCATGGCCTGCAAAGATTACTCCCTCCCACTTCCAGCTTCAAAAATTAAGTACTCCTATTATTCCTGCCAAGAACAGGAGACTTCAGGCTTCATACTCACTATTTCCTTTGGTAAGAAACTTAAATGTCTCCTCTTTTCATGCCTGATTCAACATTTAAATGCCTCTGTGTACAGCAAACCCTGTAATTAACTTTTCAAAACCCAGGCCCTAGTCTGGCAACTTGAGTTTGGCAAATATTGATTGCCTGTTTGTCAAGTGCAGCTGAACTTCGGCCAACTCTTCCTGCTCAGCGCTGTCATTCCTGGCATCGAGACCACCAACCTTTCACAAACTCCTGAACACACATTAATGAATGGCTCTGAGCCACCACGGGGAATACAAATGGACAGGGCAAGGACCTCATGTCAGGCGTGCAAAACAGATTTCCACTCCTCTTCTTTTTCCCACTGCAGATAAGGTTTTCTATGATTGGTAGATTTGCATTTTTGCATGAAGTTGTGCTGACTTGTACCACTCRAGTCATGAATTACTAACAATTCATTTTTTTCCAAAATGGTTTTTCTGGTTTTCTCATTCAAGCTACCATACATAGCAAGGCACTGACTTGTGCCTGACCTCACCTAATGCACCGGGAATTCTAYAAAGTCTGGGAATTTCTTGCTGTGCTTCAAGGGTCATGAGAAATCAGGCTCTAACCTCTTGCATGAGGTCTGAAACCAGCACACAGTCCTGCAACAAATGCTTCTGTAAAAGCCTCAGAGAAGCTTGTCATCCGTAATCAATGGCTTAACATTGCCCACGTTCAGTGGGATTTCTCACCTGTCAAAGCACATGCAGGAAAGCAAGGRCTGTTCACTGAACAGAGGCCGTAGTCAGCTTTAAGTTCTGACCTTGAGTGCGCTAGGCTGGCTAGCTAATCCAGGATAATTGCACTGAGGGCCCCCTTCCTGCCTCCTTCCTCCTAGAGAAAGGTGTTTTTCATAGACCTTACCCTTCCTTCAAACCAGTGGAAGGATTCACATAATGGTGAATATAACATTTTATGCACATACTGAAAGCTAAATTTACYAAACTAGCCAAATATTTGCCCCTTTTCTGTATCTTTGCATGTTCAAAATTCCTTTTTCTCACTATTAGTATAAAACACTTTTCTGAAATGTACCTTTATACTTGAATCATTTACTTTTTAGCCAGAAAAAGAAAAGTCCCAAAGGCTGGTTGGTTAAATATCACCTATGACTTTTCACTCAGTAAAATCTTGAAAGAAACAGGAACAACTTTGAACTGTAAGGCATACAACAGTAGGATTTTCAATTATGTCTATTCCCTCCTAGTACAGGAAGGCAAACAAGAGTAGTCAACCTGCTCATGAGTTAATAGTGCTTCCTTTCATACCTAGATAACATTTCCCTTCTGAATTTAATTTATCTGATAATAATCCAAAATCCAAATTACATTGATATCCTGTCTTGTAGTGTATTTTCAATTACAAACACATGATAGAATTTGCATCCAAGTTCAGACCACAGCTCTTTTGAAAACAAGCTTATAGGAAATTTACAATACTTAATAGTGCTCTTGGAAAAGCGCACCAAGCTTAGAAAGATTGCATTACAGTGGAACCTGCTACTAAGTGCTAAGTGCTTCACAATATTTGCTTGTTTCTTGTTTAAGTCTAAAAAAATCTTTGATAGGGATTTGAGGATATAAAATCACTGAGACACAGTTGCCACCAAGAAAACAGGAGCTGCAAATGGGAAATGGCAGRCAGCCATGCTTCTCATTTAACTATGTTGTACGAGGAATAAGAAAGTCAGAAAAAATTATTGTTATCAACTTATGCCCACAAAAAGTGTCATGTTATCTTATGTCCACATATGGTCAGCTTCCAGCAGGCAAGATATCCTTTGGATGAGGGACGTGTGTGTGTGCGCACAGTGGAGTTTATTGCAGACTTTGTSGTGCACTCTCCAAGAAGCTTTCCTCAGAATTTGCTTGAGTTTGGCTTTGCAAATTCTCCACGGCTCAGAGCACAAGATACCTTGTCTGTACCTAATGTGCTGCATGCCTGCTGCAGTGCCACCTGACATCCCAGTTTCTGCAGAATACCTTTTAGAAATACAGCACAGAGGTTCCCCTASAATGTACACACTCACCACACAGACCAACTCCTACATGTACCATCCTTTAAACCTGAAGCAGAGAAGTTGCCCAGCATGTCAGCTCAGAAGACTAGCATTTCCCACTTCTGTTTCTGCACCTGATYATACTTCTTGGTCTATTAAAAAAATAAGTCACAACCAAACTTCATCATTCATGGACTTCTGCCACAGACCTTTTCCACACAGATTTGAAGGGAGAAGTCTCCTTGAATCATGTCCTGAGTCAGTGAACCATTGGGCCTCMTTCTTAGTCGCACACAAAGAACTGCAGAGTCAAGGTACACACTCACCACGGTTCAGTTAACAGTAATTTTAACTCATTCAAACCAGGAAAAACCAAAAAATTTCTGTTTCTGAAAGGTGGACAAAAATTTGTCTGAAGTCACATCACATTTTGCATAGTGCAGATACCAAAAWTAGGTATCAATAAATATATACACCCATGCTGAAGTACCAAAGTAGGTTTTCATGACAAGAATTTAAGTCCATTTCCAAACAACTCCTTGAATAAAACAGACTGGAAGAAAACATATGCMGACAAAAAGGAAATCTATGCTTTTGCTGAAAACTACACTTTCCCAGACACAATTCGGCAAAGGTACAAAAGCACGTGTTGTGTGTTGGCAAAGCTTCCAGGCACACAGTTACAAATACAACCACCTATTGCAAGAAAAAGTTTTCTGGCTACTGCTATGTGCTTACCGCTAACATGACCTATAAAGGGATCATTTAAAGAACAGAAAAGGGACCAGAATTATGAATTAAGTGACTAATTCCAGATGCAAGCTGGCTTTTCTAAGAGTCTACAGGTTGCATCACCATTTTGTCATGTTATACAAAGTTTTCTGAGGCTTTTCTTACACCCCTATTTCCACAGTCTGAGTTTCCATATTAAAAATAAAATTAAAAAAAAGCTGTCCTGTACATCAAGGTAACAAGAATCTCACCGAACTCAAAGAAAGTGGGGCAGAGGAAAAGCCTACTAACTGGGAAAAGTCAGTAGTTTTGTTTTTCCTGTTCAAAGTTTGTGATACTTTGGACTTGCAGCTTGTGAAATTCTGTTCAGTTAGGGACTCTGATCAATTTTGAAAGCATCCCATTGACTTTAGGCATTCTGACACATTAATCAAAAAAAATTCAGTTTCAAGTTTCTTTCACAGGAAGCCCAAGACAACTTGGTAATCATTTTGATTGTGAAACTGTTTACCACTGGTCAGCTGGGTGGAGAACGTGAGTCTTGAGGAAGTAGCAACATCTGGAATATTAATCAAAAGTTAAACTGCCCACATCACACAAGTTGCCAAAATATTATAACCATGCRTTTGCCAGAATGAGTGCAGCTAAGCAATGGTTTTAGAAAGGGAATCTTTGATAAATAATGATTTCCTAGCATTATGTACTCAGAAATGTAAATACTATGTGTAAAGATCCTTCAAAGTACATCGCTAGACTGTGTAAACTATAAGCCAGAGAGACATGCCTGCACACAAATGCACAGCAGCAAACATCTGCACATAACACTGAACATTCACCAGCTATGGTTAACTGGACTAAATCTTCCCTCAGCCGACAATCAGCATTAGGCTCACCCATCAATCAGTCACACTGAATTCCCAGGAGTTCTGAAGCAAACTCACAGTCAGCTGCAATAAAGGGGCTGTATCACAGAAACAGTTATCTTTTAATTCGATCTACACCGCAAACTGAAAGCACACTAGAGTGTGTTGCAATCCCAGGAAACCTACCTCACGCGTCAGGTTATTGTTTAACCTTGCTGTAAAAATATTACAACTCCAAGTTTATTTATGTATTCCTTAATGGCAGAGCCATGAGAGTACGTTCTGCTTCACTTCCCAGGAGGGGCCAAAGGAAAGGGCAACACCTCTGACTGGGCACCAGTTCAGAAGCTCTGGCACCACTGACTGGGCACCAGTTCAGAAGCTGAGCAAGGAGCTCCCAGCTCAAGCTCCACACTGGCAAATTGCTGTTCTTGCCCTGTGAGCAGGGGGCCCACCCCTCTCCAAGGTACTCCCTGTCAAATCTTTACTCAGCTGCAGCTGGGACACTTGGAATTCAGTCCAGCAGAGATCTTGCCATCCACACGTCCCTCTGGGATATCTGGAATTAGCCCAAGACAATTAAAGCACAACCACTGTCAGACTTGGCAGTAATAGGGAGGTAAGGACGCATGAGAAGGGCCTGTCATGCAAGGACCTCTGCACAGAGGACATTCCAGCAAACTTTCAGCAGTSTTGGTGATCATGCTAATCTCCAGCACAACTGAGAGGCCTGAGAGCCTCACCTCTGTGCCTTCTCAGAAATGCATTGTTTCAGCTGCCCTGGTATGTCTATCCCAAACACAGCCATAGAAAAAGCCAGGAGCTCACATCACACAACAGGGTAAATATGCTGACTCTGGATTTACACTGGTAAAAATAAGGATCTGAAGGTATTCCTAACAATGTTTTTATCTTTTCCTGGAACACCAACACTTTCTTCACCTAGAAAGTTTTTTCTATGTTGTTTTTTAAATACTCTGGATTCCTGGAGCATTGGATCATGTGTTTTCTGTGGTTTCAAAAAACTTTTTACTGTGGTATTCAAGAAAYAGTGTGAAACTAAGGGCTTGAATTGCTTTAGGATAAACACATAACCTGCTTTCAGATAACCTGTTCCTTCCTGAGAAGAAATAATAAAATTACTAGTAAGTTTGTGTCAAATCAGTTCTTACATGGATGAAAGCTTTGTCTGGAAAGGTAGTTATTTTACTGCATAGAATTTGGATGCCGTGATGAAAACTAGTTTTGATTGTGTCTGGTGGCACAAAATTGGATTCAAAGCTAGAATACATTCCTTTCGCTGTACCCTAGCACCCCATCCTCTTACTTTTGAATACTTTCCATCATCTTCCCTGTAYACAAAGCAGTAACAAAGGCACCCACAGAAGAAAAAGAACCCAGCAGTTTATATATTCCATTTYAGGATCACAAAGCAGCTCTAGGAGCTACAGCCACCCTTTCTTCTAAGGCCAGAAACTTTTAAAGATAGATACTCTGTGTGGGGGATCAGTGTAACAAAGTCAGCCTGTGACAGGGCACTGCTAACAACATTTTAAGAGCTTTTTTACATTTGTAAGCTTGAGGAGTATGCAGTCTCTTTGCTCATAACGAATTCAATCATGTTGTGATTAATTGAGAGAGCATTGGTGGACACCTAGTCGTCAACATTTGCACACATTCCACTTGCTCTCCTTGGACMGGGTGCCTGTGAACAAGCACCGGTACAACAAACACAGCCGTGAGTGAACCTACAGAGAGTTCATCCCTCTGTTCCCTTTTCCGCTGTGGATCCTGCTCATTACAGGCTTAACTACAACTCGAACACATTACCATGATAACGAAGAAACTCAGCCTCGCCTTGTCTAGGATCAGGGACTGAGGGAAGTTGGGATGCTGGGATGGATGAGTCCCACAGAGGAGGGAGCCGAGAGACCTTACCRTGGTGCTACTGCCGTGCAAATCCCCTGCCGGGCCAAGGGACTCTGAAAGCCACCTTGTTTCTGGGGGAAAGAACACATCCCAAACCTCAACAGGTCGCGCCATCAACCCGGCAGGAGTTTCGAGTGAGGAGCAGACTCCAGGTCTCTCCTAACACCGTGGAGCTTCCCCCCAGCGTCGTTCTCCAGCGCCCTCCAAGCCCACTCCACGACACCCGGGTCCCGCAGCATCCCAAGCATCCCGGGACAGCTTCACAAAGGAAAGATTACAAACTCCCCTTTCCCGCCATGCCAGCAGCCCTTCCCTCCAAGCGCTCCTTTCCCAAAAGCAACAGGCGGGCCCGGCACCTCCCGTGCACCCCGTGTCCCGTCCTGTCCCCCCGGCCCCGGGACTCACCGCCGAGAGCAGACACCCAGCGCAGGCAGAGGCACACGGCGGCCAGGAACGCCTTCATCCCCATCTCGCCTCCCGCCGCGGCACCAAAGTTTCGGAGCGGGGGGAAAAAAAAACAACCAAAAAAAATTAAGTTTTTTTTTGCTTCAAAAACTTGTGATAACTAAACACAACTGCAGCGCAGAAGTGCTGCAATGGACGGGGCAACCTCAGGAGCGCCCAGCACGGCCAGCGCCGCTCCTGCCCACCCTCCTTATGTCCCGGGCAATATGCAAATATGCAAACGAGCCCCCCGCGCCCATTGGCGGCCGCCGCGGGGTGGGGCGGGGCCGGCGCTGCCCGGGACGGGCGGGGCGCGGGGTCGGGGTCGGGCGATGCCCAGGGCGGGGGATGGAGCGGAACGGGATGGGAAGGGACGGGATGGGATAGAACGGGACGGGACGGGACAGGACAGGACGGGATGGAATGGAACAGGACGGGATAGAACGGAACGGGATAGGACGGGACGGGACGGGACGGGACGGGACGGGACGGGACGGGACGGGACGGGACGGGACGGGATGGAATGGAAAGGGATGGGACGAAACGGCCCGGTCCCTGCTCGGCACGGCATGCATAGAGCCCTCTTTGGGCTCTGAGCCCTCCTCGGACCGGGCTCCCGCAGCCCTCCTGCATCCCTCTGGCCAGCCCTGCCCGCACAACAGGATGCGACCCCAGCGTTTCACCCCCCTGGTCCTTCCTGCCTGTGGCGASCTAGCTCTGCCGTGCCTCTGCTGGGGTCTGCCTTCCCATTCACGCTTTTGCAACAGTGACCAGAAAACTACATTTTCTGTAGGGCCCTTCCACTGTTGCCTTGAAAAATCTTTGCCTTGTTTTGCCAGCGCTCATGGATTCAAGTTCAGAAAAAAAAAATAGCTTGCTGGAGACTACATTTGTGCTCCTGAGAAGCAAAAAATTGATTCTTTGACATCTTCAACTCTCTCTGCCCTCCTCTTAGAAATGTGGTTTCTAACTCTAATGCAGTGAGATTTGTGTTGGCAGCCACTGGGTAAAAGATCAGTTATGTAAGAACATTAATTTAATAACAATAGCAGTTTTTATTTCATTTGCAGTTTGTTGCCAAAGGCCCATCTTCATAAAGAAGCTTATGACACAGGGAATGAGGACTCCCTGGGTTTTGCAATGTGAAGCAAATGGGATTCACTTCAAGAGTAATGGATCTTTCTCATACCAGGCACCTTAGGAGACTAAAATGAATCTGGTTTATATTAGTGAGACTATTCAATAAAAGGCTGCTGAAGTGCAGCAGTACTGGGTCACCTTTGCAACTTTAGGTTCCCCTAAAAGACCAGTAAGATCAATAAGGGAAAATACATTTTCCCCCAAGACACAACTAGAATTTCCTCCACCAGCAATCCCTATTTATAACCAGAAGGCATTGGAAGAATTTAGTGAGGGTACAAACTCTTCATGCTGAGACTTTTCCATTGAGACAATGGAGTAGCAGGTTGAGGAGGGGGCTGACACAGTGGGTGAGGCAGGGACAGAGGCTGGGAGTCAGAGCAGGGGATTGGCAGTGAAGAGGCTGGGAGTAAAGACAGACCAGCCTTCCTCACCAGGTGGTAATGATGTGAGCAGAGAAAAATATGGTTTGTGCTGCAGCTTGTGGAGTCCTGAGCACATCTTCTGACACTCTTGTCAAAACAATAGCAAGTATCTTTTCATGTCTTTGTTTTCCCTGAGTGTGGGCTAACAGTGCATTTCTCTTGATCTAATTTGGTTGAAACTCTATAGCGTGATTTCTCCCTTTGAAATCAGCCTGACTCTCTGTAGGGTCAGACATCCTTCCTAGAAAATTTAATTCCCTGATGGCAACATGTGGCCAGCTAAATGAGCAAACACTTTAAGGCAAGCTGCTGTAAGAGAAACTGTCAGGTCACCATAGCCACAGGTGAGCTACCTACCCCCCCCAGAGCAAAACAGAACATGAAGTCTGGTTTACACAACTACATCCATGGATACTGAGGGGAAAAATAAATTTTAAAAAGCTTACATTACAAGGTGAGTATGGGAAAAGAAGTTTTAACTGCTTATAGAATAATGTAGAAAGGAGCAGTGGCAATGCTTGGCACGCCAGTCCTGTTTGGATTGCTGGCCCCATCTGCAAATCCACAGGCTGTAATCAGACTTCTAGTTAATTCCCAATACAGATTGTGAAATGCATCAACYGCAAGGGCAGGCAGCAGATTTACACAGAATGAAATCTAATTTGTTACACTGAAAATGCTTATTTGCATAACTTTTTCTTCATGCCAATGCTTCACTTTAAGACACAGTTATGTATATTTAAGAAAGAGTTATGCAAAGTGTCCACCAAATTAAAAAGAAAAAAAAACAAACAAAAAAAACAAAACAAAAACAAAACAAAAATAAAAATTAAAAAAAGGAAGATTAAAAATGAGACACAAAAGGGAAACCTTCAAGTGATGAAAGACAGGGCGAAGGGGATAATTCTGGTTTCTTGGATCTTGAACAAATTGCCTAAGTCTGTTGTAAACTCAGATGCAAAATAATCTGAAATAGATRGAACACAGCACATTTTTCAATTTTTAAAAATCTTTTGTCTCTTGCAGATAATCATGATTGRATGGAGAAGAAGCTTCATGGCACCAACTCAAGGTGCTTCAGTGCAATCATTAGTTGAGGACTTGAATTCCTTGTCCTCTGTGAAACGCMTAATCCTAGAGGGGAAAGCAAAGATCCATCTGTAAAACAGAGGCTGATTTATGGTACTCATGGACTCCCAAGTGGGTGGAAGGTATTATAATGAGAGCTAAAATACATTTTTTTTTCTGATAATGACAGGGGAAAACCTGGACAATAAAGAAAGGAGTTGCATAACTAGACTGRTACTTGCACCCACAGACCATGTAGAAGGTTAAAGTCAAAACAAGCCCAGAAGTGTCTCTAACATAGGCAGCAGGGGTTTCTGTGGTGCAGCTGAGCAAAACCCTGGGTAAACTCTCTGGCCTCACACAACAAGCAAGGAGAGAACCGAACTGAAAATTTCATTTCTACAAAAGTGCTCCAAAGAGAGCTTGAAACACATGGAGAAGGGAGGCAACACAACATGACACTTTGAATGGTTTTGTACTGCTTTAATATAAATAATATAAAAGATTTGATAACTGAGGGTGAGAGGTCTTCCTGCAAAAGTATTTGCTTAGAAACAAGCAAAAATGTCTTCT